GATTTTAGAAATTATGGCACTCCAGATCTCCCTAATATGACCCTTTGGGAAACAGGGCCCACACACCTGTATTTCTAAAAAGTCCCAGAATTAATCACCTCTGATGTGCAGCCAGAATTGAAAGCCATTGATCCAGCTGCAATGATTACACAACAATTTAACATTAATAACGTTTTCTTTATGGGTGTCCAGACTAGTTCATTCATTCAATAAATGTGTTTGAGCTCCTACTACCAGAAGAGCTAATGTTCTTGGTAAAGCATCTATCTTGGTCCCTGGCACATAGAAAGTGCTCAATACTTCAATTATATTCACCACCCCTTAACGAGAGCTTCCACTGTTCGAGAGAGAAGGCAAATTGATGGGAATGCTGAGGTGAGGAGGCAACGGCAGGTAAACAATTACTGGCAATGTGGAGCACACCCAGCAAGGGGGGCAGCTAGTGGTGGCAGCAGGCAGGGGAGGCTTTGCCAAGTGTTCTGGCTTTGAGACACACAGCGGTGTATGGTTAAGTGTTCCGTGGCTTCTCACTGGAAGGCCCTGGGCTAAAATGTGCACACTCACTGTTCTTACTCTCACGCTAAGCCATCTGCTCCTGAGCATACTTCTCAGGCCAGGCTGTTTCTAGCAGAAGAGAGAGACTGAGGTTCAGATAATGTAAATTTGTAGCCAGAAGTCGGAAGCCAGGAGCCTGGCCGGGGTAGAGCACCGAGTCACACCCTTCATTCCCAAGGCCTCTGGCAAATGCTATCTAGGAGCCCAATGGGCTCATGCCCATAACCAGTGGAAAGGACAGGTCCTTGGCCTTTGACAAGCTTGCCCCTGGGAGAAAGCAGGGGTACAGAGGTAGACACAGAGTTCACATCCCATCTCTACCCTTCTCACTTCTGAGAAAGATTTCACCAGGGATAAAGATGCCTTCCTCAACTGCTGAAGAGGGCTAACAAGATTGCCCAGCACAGGGAAGGAGCCCTAAGGTGTCACTTGTCTCCCCCATATTCCTCATTGCCTGGCCCAGAACCTCTGAATGGAGTAGCCCCTTGGCCACCATCAGCCAAGCATGACCCTGGGCCAGATACTGTCGGGTTGGCATAAATTAAGAAGAAAAAATGTGCAGAAGGGCAAACTCTTTACATGCAGTTTAAGAAGACATCAAAGGAGTAGAGGCAAGGAAGTGTGGATTTGAAGAAGGGAGGGCCCCTGGGATCTAATTTTTCATAGCAGGTGGGGGCATGCAGACAGAGGCTGCCCACAGCCAGAACAGATAGGCCGGCTACTCCTGTGCCCCTTGCTGCCCCGCCACTCTGGCCTCTGTCCTCTGCCAGCTCCTGTGTGCAGTGGAAGCAGGGCCAGGGGAGGACAGACAAGGCAGAATGCAACAAGGATTCCAACTCCTAGCCCAGTGATGGATGATTCATCTCTCACTCCTCATGTCGTCTTCCATTTGTACAGTTCTCATCTTCATTTCATGAATATTTTATTCTCAGAGCAATGGCTCCACATGCCCCATAAATCTAGCGGGTGGCTCTTTACTGCATCCAGGGAGCTTGGTGCATTCACCTGCATTGGGTAACTACATAATCATCTGATTCCTTAGAAAAAATATGAGCTCAAATCTACATGAATATTAAGGGGTTGAACGCACATTACTACTCTTCTTCAAGTAGGTGTCTAAACTGTGACGACACCCTAGAGCAAGCCATTAAACACAACTTGGGCTCCACCCAAAGACAGGTTTCTAGCCCTTAAGAAATGCTGCCAATGTCTCAATATGAAACATTCAAAGATTAACCAGACACTCTCTCCTATTTGCAAATGCTGCTCCATAAAACACAGGCAACCAGTAGCACAAAGTAGTTCTGGATTAAATACCATCATTATTTTATGTAGGTTTTAATAATACGCTTCTAAAACACTGTGATTCTGAGCCCTGTCCTGGTTTCTATTCCCTGCATGATGAAGTCAAAACCTCTCGGTCTGGCATTTAAGTCCTTCGGAGCAGGCCCTGTCTCCCTCCCCAGGCTCTTCAGCTAGCATCTCCTTCCTCATGTTGACACTTCAGCCCTGGAGCTCCAGGAGGTATGATGACTTTGTTTACCTCCATGCTGTTCACCCTGCCAAAAATGCAACTCCTTATCTCATCTTTAGAGCCAGGATTTGTACCAGTGCTTCAACACTCAGTTTTAACAGCTCTAAGCCCCAAGCAGGCTTCAATAACCAGCACCCCTAACCCCTCTGACCCCACCATGCCCTGGCTGGGATGGATGCCCTCTGTACTTCTGTGATACCTGCTGCTCAATGCAGGTCAGCCTGATCAATGGGTGGAGACTGCTGGGCCCAGCTCTCTGCCACATCTGTGCACAAGGAGATAAGCTCCCTGACGGCAGGGGTTGGGTCTCTATGGGCAGGCATATTAAAGGAAGAAAGGGAAAGAGAGAAGAAGGAAAGGAGACATTGCATTTGAAATTTGGAAACCCAAAAAACAGGAAAAAGATGGAACATTTCCATGCAACCCTTCTTAGCAATACCAGAAGGGGTTGGAGGACAGACAGCTGCTGTGCTTTTCCAACCTGCCTCCCTCCATGTGTCCCCATTCCTATCTGGAAGCAGGTTGGCAGCAGGGGAAGGACGTCCCACATTCTGGAAGCAGGGCTATTATATTCATCACTTCATAACTGAGATTCTGGACTTATGTAGAAGCCAGAAATAAAAGGTAGATGTATGACCAGCAAGGAGCTGTCCCTCACAGCTGGGTTATCCCTTGGTCTCCTTGTCTCTCCATGTTTTTCTCTTTTCTTTTCTGTCTTCCTAAGTCTCTTTAACAATCACCAGTCTCTCTCTTTCTCTGTCTCTCTTACACACACACACACCACAATTAACTGTGGGTGGTCCAGGCTGAGATTGTCCAAACTGTCACCAATCTAGGCATTGTGATGGGACATGGCTAAAAGCAGACAATGACTTCCCATCCAAAGGACAAGATCTCCCTGCATGCGGCTCATAAATGATAGGCTAGAGGCCGGGGCTGAGCCTGAACCTGTGTCTCTGGGCTCCCACCCTTGCCCACAGCTACCCAGGAAGACAAATTCCTGACAATGTAATTTTCACCCACCTTGAGACCCTCCCCTGCTCCCCTGACACAAGGGGCCTTTGCACAGAGGAAACCAGGCTGAAGACTTAGGGAAAATAAGCAAAACCTTAAACAAACAACACAGGGAGTGGGCGCAACATGCGTCAGTCTGGGGGCCTGGTCTTTCCCATCCTTCTCATCCTTCTGGGGCCACCACACTGTGACTGCCCACTGATGCTTCTGTGCACAAAGACCTGGGTGGTGACAAGCAGGTGAAGAGTGCACACTGGCCATGGCATGGAGGGGGCTGACATGACAAGGAGAGGCGAGATATGTGCAGCCTTTTCTTAAAACTGCTTGTCAGAATCATTCACTGTCCCTCCCAGGGACTTCTTTACACAAAATTTTCCAGTAGCCAAAGAAGCTTGGGACAGAATCATCAGCTGTTCCTTTCAGAGGCTTTTTCTCAAAGTTTGGCCTTCCTTTCCTCCTGAGCTCCAGGGGTGGTAGGACAGCCACCGAGGCTGTGGCTGGCCCCAGCTTTGCATTCCCTTGCATGGAGATACACAGAAGGCCAGAGAGAAAGACAGATGTTCCCAAATATTGCAGATGTACTGAGTTAAGCAGTGTAGGGACAGAGAGCTCAGTACCTGGTATAATGCAGAGTTGTGTAAAGGAGCGAGGGAGGCCCACCCCTGTCCTAGCCCCTGACCTGCCAGGAACGTGCTTACAGACCAATGAATAGAAGATGCGATGTGGCCAGATACCCAGGCCACGGAGGTGGTAGACCCACCCTTCCTGTCCAGAGGTGCCAAATCCCTGCCCAAAATCAGGCTGAGAAGGATCCTGCCAGCTTTTACCTTCTCCTGGCTGTTTTTCTTTCCTGCCTCAGTTTACTTTTTGTGTCCTTTGGATCTTCTACCTCTGAAATCATTTAATGAACTGCTAGGTATTGAGCCTCCGGTAAAATAAAAAAGTCAAAAAACAAAAACCAAACAGAAGTGCATTTGGGTTTGATGCAGGATGCTCTCCCACTTCCTGTTTGAGGTTTATATCCATTTGCACCCACAGAGTCTCTAAGCGGAGCTGTGGTTCTAGATACAGCTGAGGTCTATGTGGCAGGGAGTGACAGCCCCACAGGTGGTGTGGCTGGGCATGTGCCTGTGTGTAGTTTCTGCTGACAAAGCATCATCACCAAATGACACTCCCTACCTCCCTCCCTTAGGGGAACTGTCTCCAGGGAACCTTGGTGAAGGCTTTATTTCAAGAAAAAAAAAAAGGAGCTTGAAGAAGAACAAAATCTCAGTAAGAAGGAAGTGTGGAGGGGCAGAACCAGCTTGCAGTTGGCACACACAGGAAGGGATGTGTGCCCAGAACCTGGAGTCTAGACAGAGCTACAGTGTCCTCTGGGTGTACCCAGGAAGGACAGGGGCAAGGCTGGCCCCTGCGAGGAGGAGGAAGGTAGGGAGAAAGGAATGCTGGGAGGGACAGGGATCCCCTGGTGCCCTGGGAGAGCAGTGCCCTGTGGCCCTTGGTGAGAAGTCAAAGAGAATCAGGAAGGAATGGGCTCCTCTCTTACCCTACAGGTGATCTCTCCAGGTCAGGGTGGAGGCACATGGGCGGGGCAGGGTAGGGAAGGGCTCTCTGGCGCTGCCCATGCTGTACCTGCTCTATAGATAAATACAGGACTTTAGTGGCTAAGGCTGGCACTGCAGCACTTTGTTTAAGCATGAAAACTTCCCCTACATGTCTTCTTTAGTTTTAAAAACAGAATGAAACAATAACAAAATCCCCGAATATAAAACACTGCTGTCTCCAGACATGACGACTCAGGTAAACACTAACTAGAAACGGTCTGCCCTCCAAACGGCCCAGTGTGACACTCCTGACTTTAGGCTGCAGAAGGGAGGGCAGGCCCCAGGGTGCTGACCTCCTTGGGGGTCTCCTGGTGGCACCGGTTGCTGTTCCACCACAACTCCAGGGCAGCCACCAGGCAGGCCAGGAGCAGGCCGATGGCCAGGATGCAGAAGACCCCAGCGAAACTGTGCAGCTTGAGGGATTTGCCGTCGGCCTGGGCGCTGGCATGGCTGGTGAGGTCACAGCGGCCCATGTGTGGCCACCACTTCTGCTTCAGTACATCCAGGTCCCCTGTGTCCTGCAGCTCCAGGATCCTGTAAGACACAATCGAGGTGAGCTACAGCCACCGACCTCCTGAACTCAGCCACGGGGACCCTGGCCCCTGCCCCACCATACTGCCCCCCCCCACCACGGACAACACTGAGCCATCCTAGCAGCTTTCTGCCTTAGCTCTTCTCTTCCCAGTCCATTCTCCACATTGCAGGTAAAGTGTTATTCCCCACGCACATTAGGTTTTGTCACTTCCCTCCCCAGCACCCCCCTGCCCTCTCCCACCCCATCTCACTGCCCAAGGATAAAATCTAACAGCAAATCACATAAGGTCCATCACAGGGTTTCTGTGGCAAGAGCTCAGGATAAAACTGGGAAATACAGAAATGAAAGAGGCAAACATTTAGGTCATGGACTTGGGATATTCCTGAACATGAAAATGCTTTTTTTCTGAACTTTCATTACTATAGCCTAAGTCTCTCCCACTGGTATTCACCAAATCATTCATATAAGCATTTGATTTGAGGGCCTCCTGTGCTTTGTCTAGTATGATGTTTAGCACTGCTAAGCTTATGGTCTAGAGGTACAAACACTGACCCTAAAACAATTAGCTCAATCAAAGTGCAGGCAGAGCTGCGATAAACACAACAAATCAAAGTAGAGTTTCTAGGAAATAGCACGTAGTGGGTAGTGTCCACAGGAGGATTGCAGAAATCCTCACTGAGGAGCCGACAGGTAAGGGGAAGCTTGAAGTGTGACTAATCATAAAACAGCTCACATGGGTCTAGCATGTTCTACATGCCAGGGAGTACCCTCCATGCTTGGTAAATGGTATTGAATCCTCATTTTCATGCCAACTCTTTGAGATGGTTCTTCCTATTTTTCCATTTTACTGAGAAGGAAATCAAGGCACAGAGGGGTGAAATGTCTTGCCAAAGTCATTCTGAGGCTGCAAGGTTTGGCTTTCAACTGTGGAGAGGAAGAACCTTCCTGAGACTAACACCCCATGTGAAAGTCTAGGGTAGCATTTAGGACGTTTAAGAAGTGGAAAAATGGCCAACAAGGCTATTGGGTGGTACGGGAGCAGGTGTCAGGTGACAACAGAGAAGGCAGAGCCCAGAACACGGGCTCTAAGAGGCTCTGAGGGCTTTTGATTTCATCATGGTGGGACAAGCCACTCCGCTTCTGTATTCCCCATTGTGGTTTTCTTTGGTTGTGGTATTTTGTCTGGAGGCCAGGAATCTTAACAGAGAGCCAGTGGTAGCTGGTAGCACCCAGACCTCAAACACCCAAACTTTTCCATGGGGAAGAGGAGCTCTTTAAGCCTGATCCATGGTGACACATTTGACTGATAACATCTGTAGAGATCCCTCTGAGTTCTCGGGTATGTGTAGTTACAGAGCAGCAGATGTTTATAGCCGGGAGAAAGTCACTGCCCACTGGACAGGTGTGTGATCTCTAGCCTGGACCTGCACTGCAGGTTAGCTGTGAACACAGACCTGAGGCTGTGCTCATTTCCCATGCATGGGCTTGTGTCTGGTTGAGACAAGATCCAAAGCCCTGAGAGGGACAAGGTCCACAGCCCTGAGAGGGTCCCAAGACCTGGCAGCATCATGGGCCCAGCACAGCATGGCCTCCTGATGGCTGGAAATGGCCTGCCCCAGTGCAAAGATAGGCTTTGGAGGCACTAGACCTCACCTGGACCAGAGACTTGCCTCTACTAAAGCTCAGTGTTTTCATCTTTGCAACATAAACTGCTGACCCCCACTTGGATGAGCAGATCCTTCAGGACAGGAGCTCTGTTTTCCCTGAGCAAGCACAGTGGCTGGCACCACTAAAGCTATCAGTAGATGTCTGTTGTGTCAATAAACAGGTGAGTGTACTAACCGAGTAATGAAAACTTGACTAAGACGGCTGTGGTTAGATATTGATATAATGTCCATTAAGTGCTCAGGGCACTGATCAGCATATAAAACACAGAATGTGGCTGTGCATTCAGGGACTTGGTTGTTAAGATACATGCGCATTTCTATGGTTTGGGCTCATGCTTAGATTGCCCTGGAGCACTGAAGACCTCTCTCATGGCATGTTGCCTGGTGAACTGGGCAGCCGCAGCATTGCACCACCTCACATGGCTCCGATCGTGTCGGGCCAACTCCGTGGCTGCATGTCTGCCTGTTCACTGGCCTTAATAAGTCTCTGTTGGTAGGAGTGAGGGAGTTAAGCCTCCTGGCAGTTACAGGAACCCCAGGGACAGATATGCAGGACCTTAGGGCCTTTCAGGAGGTCAGGATTTGAACAACTAGCTGGCCACGGATAGACAGCCGAGCTTCGTGTTCATGGATATCCATTCAAATCCAGGCTCAGGGCCTCTAAAATTTAGCTCTCTCATCACGAAAGCCTGAGGTAATAATAAATGCACCTACCTCACAGGATATTGTGATAAAATGAGAAGAGGGAACACATACAGACAGTTCGCTTGAGATCCAGCCAGTAATCAGAGCTCCATAAAAGCAGGTTAGTAGTTGTCAGTCTGATGGCCACATTGACCAGTAGCCTTATCCTGCCAGCACTGACATGAGTGACCTTTTATTGAGGACACAGTAGGAGCTGATCATTTTACACTGTTTGAATCCTCATAACAGCCTGCAAAGTGGTTCTTATTATGTCTATTTTACATCTCGAAGACCTAGAGCTCAGAATCTAGATGACTTGCCCACTGTTGCAATTAGAAAGTGGCAATGCTGCTCATCAGAGCTGGGTCATTCTGACCCAGGAGGCCATGCTCTTTCCAGAACAGCAGGCTGTTCTCCCAGGACCAGCCTCATCATTCTAGGGAATGGTGAGGCTCTGGCCAGATGGCAGTTGTGGGGTCAGATCCCTACTTCTCTACTCATTAGGCATATCCTGTGCAATGTTAGGCAAGTTGCTTAATTTGGCTGACCTTTTCTTCTTCCTGCTTCCTATAATTGTATGCATTTTTTTTACCCAATCTTATCCCAGAATGATAGTAAGGCAATTTATAGGAAAGTATACCATAAAACAAAAAAACCTAAACAAACAGAAAAGGAAATTTTAATATGCAAGGGACAGAGAAAGATAAAACAAGTCTTGGGCACAAATGACTTTGAGAATGAGGCTAAACTAATGCACACCATAATAATCCATACTCCCACTTACGAGTAAGCCAGAGCGATAATAGCCACTTCCTGAAGCCAGTTGTTCTATTTTCCAGACAGACATGATTGCAGGTGCTTTTTTCTATTCAATAGTTGTGGCGCCTGCTACACAGTAGGTGCTCAATAAATGGCTATTAAGTTGCTAAATATTTATCGAATGCCCACTCTGCATGCTGTGGTCTGCAGGTCTGTTTATAGCACATAAGCCCTGCCACACACGCACATACATCCTCGTCCTGTCCTCTGCCAAAGCAAAGGAGTATATCTTTATTCAAGGGAATAGTTTAGTTCCCAGGATGAAGGGAAAGACAGTTACAGCGGTTCCACATAAGGCTGGGACCTACCATTTATACCAGGACCTGTTTTCTGCAAATGGCATGAGGCATTGCTCTCAGGACCTATCCCTTCACTCCTCTGAAGCATGGCCTAGCTAGGGGCAGCTCACAGTTCTCTATGGACCATACAACAAAGCCTCTTTTTCTTCTTTGAGAATGAGGTCTCCTTCTGTCACCCAGGTTGGAGTGCAGTGGCATGATCTCAGCTCACTGCAACCTCTGCTTTCTGGGTTCAAGCGATTTTCATGCCTTAGCCTCCCAAGTAGCTGGGATTACAGATGTGTGCCACCACACCCACCCAATTTTTTGCATTTTTTGCAAAGACAGGGTTTTGCTATGTTGGCCAGGCTGGCCTCAAGTGATCTGCCCGCCTCAGGCTCCCAGAGTGCTGGGAGCCACCACACACGGCCCAACAGGTCCTTTTAAAGAAACACTGGCAGCAGTAAGTTGACAACCTGAAGTCTAAGTGTCCCCACTCAAGGGATGATTCCAGCCCAGGAGGAACTGTACCATGCAGGAAGATGAGGAAACTGCGGAAGGCCAGCACAGGCCACTGGTGACATTTCCTTATAATCACAGAGCACATGTCTTCCGATGAAAGCAAATAGTAATCAATCACTACTTGCCAAAATGACATGGAAACTGGACTAGTCACGTCTAATTATGGTGACTACTGGAGTCGGGAGAGCAGCCCATGGGGTCTCTGTTGGGAGGTTTTGCATAGGGACCACACGGTCAGTGAGTGGGCAGGTAGTGGGCAGGCTTGTTCCAGAAAGCCTGGTCTCTGGGGTCACACACCTCAAGTTGGCTATGGCTCTGGTCCTCTAAAGCCACACAAACGACATCTCACTCTGTCTGCCCCCAGAAAGGCTTACGATATTGAAGGTGGGAAGCCACACCCCTCCCCACTCATCTCCACCTTCCTCAGGTTGAATAATCTCAGGTTCTGCTCTGACCTAACTTGAGCTCCCTCTGCTCTGACTCCATTCACCAATCCAGCAGACACCAGGGCTTCCGGACTAATGCCTGCTGCCTCTTCTCTCCAGTGTGTCAGTGTTCACTTCAGCAGCCTCTCAGGAGCCAGCTGAGCAGTGTGAGCACACGGGGACTCTAACCTTTCCTCGCTGGGGCCCTGTGCTTCCGTGAGCACTGTCTTGGGGCACATTAGCAGTCTTGGTTGGCCCCATGGGCTCTCTTACCATCTGTTCTAGAGAGATGCTCAGAGGTTGATGGTCTGTGGAATCACACTGAGCCTCCCATCTCAGAAAACCAACTGGTGTGAACCTCAAGAACACCAAAGTGTTATAAATCCTGGAGAGAAGCCATTCTTTCTTCATGCATTTAATCTGAGCAATTGATAAATCACTATTCCTCCTTCCCTCTTGCCATCCTTCTCTGCTCCAGAGAGCAGAGGGAGGAACAGAATGTATACCTGATTAAATTTAAGAGAAAACCCAAAAGCCTCATTTACCTTAATTAGCCCTACTTTTTCCCTCAGTTTTGCAAACAAGCCACTGAATCGACTGGTTGCAGGCCTTCCTCATCAGCCTTCCCTTAATGGGGCTGAGGCTCAGGTACTCATGAGCAGAAGGGCCCAATCTGGACATCTAGAGTGTGGGAGAAGGGTGGTGGTGGGCCTTGGAGATTCAGCAGCAACATGGGCACAGCAGCAGGGCTCAGAAGACACCGATTCTACTCCCAGCTCTGCCAGCAGCTGGCTCAGTGACTTTGGATTTCCTAGTTACCTCCTCTGAACTGTGGGATCTTAAAGAAATGGTTTATAAGGACTCTCACCTCTCCAAACAGAAGTTCCTTAGTGCTGAAATTCAAGCGTTCATCAGTTGACGAGGGTTGCCCCTGAGCCTGGCACAATACCAGCCTTTTTATTCAGATGCTTCTGCCTCATATTGGATTTGGGTGGACTCAGGCAGAGCCTGCCCCGAGAGTTTCTTCACTTGGCTCTGCAGATTCATCTCTTCACCCAGAAAAATGCCCTTCACAGATATGTGCAAGAAGATGGCCCAAGGCTTAGACACCTTGGGGACAGGAGCCCCTGTTCATAGGCTGACTACTGGAAAAAGGCCACCCTTTCTGGCTAAGGCCATGTCCCTCCCTCACCCCAGCAGATAGCATCTCCTTGGACCAGGAAACTTCTGCCCTATAATCAGAGACCCCTCTAGCCACATGCAGATAAATATGGAGACATTCTGTTTCTCTAACCCTACTTTTTAAAAAGTCTTCACATTGACTATTCCCACTTTATAGATATATTTCTCTTTAATGGTGATTAGTAGGGCCTGATCAGATCCTGCTAATTATTCATTTTTCTGGCTAACTCCTCCTCATTCTTCAGGCTTCAGGTGTCCCCTCCTCTAGGAAGTCCTCCCAGGTATCCTGGGTCTGGTGAGATGCCCCTCTCTGCCACTTCTACCCTAGCATCCTGAGAACATCCTTCCCATGTGCTAATATGCCCTGTGCTGGCATTGCCTGCTCACATCAGAGATCCCACAGACTCTGGGCCTTCCTGGCAGGGCCATATGCTTCCATAGGGTCTGAGGCTGAGAAAGGAGGAAACAGTGGGACATAGTAGGTGCTTAGGAAAATGGGATGAACAAAGGAGTTGGCATTGGCTCTTATCATCTAAGAGGTTATTCTCCTACCCTCGACCACTAGAGTCCTGAGGCAGCTGAAGCCCCCTGGCTACCCATGCCTACCTCTGGGAGAAGAGGTCCCTGTAGGGGCTGCCGTGCTGCAGGGCGATCCCGTAACCCTTGCTGCTGATGCTGTTGCCAATGACAGTCACCGAGCAGTCGTCATCCGTCAGGGCTGCGTATTCCACCACGGCTACATCCCACAGGAAGGCGTAGTTCCCCTTCTTTGCCTGAAAGATTAAAATTACCATGAAGTCAGGCAGGCCTGGCTAGCTGTGTCAGCTTTGACCGGCGAGCCATCTTGATGGTGGGATTTGACGGACCCATCCTCAATGGTCTTCCTACCCACCAGACAGCACAGCAACTCTGCTACTGTTTTCTGGCCTACAAATGCCAGCATTGGTTGAGGCCACTCACTTTGACTAGACATAAAAGATGTGCAAGCCAGCCACAAAACATCTTATTTCGGGAGGGGGTGAGGAGCTAGAGGCAGGCTCTAAGACCAGCTTCCTGGTCACAGTGTCAAGGGCCTCTGTCTCTGATTAGAGGGCTCAGCTTGGAGAGTACAGAAAATCCAATGCCAGGTGACTGAGATTCTCAGATCAGAAATGTTGGGGAGCATAACAGTTAGGGATGAGGAATAGGGGAGAATAGGACTGTGGCAAATCTTATCCACTTGATACTTCAACTTAGAACTTGACTGAGCTCTGCTTAGGGTCAATGTGGAAAATGGCCCTGAGTTCAGTGCCCCAGAGGAATGGAAACTTAATATCAAGCAGAAACACGTGTCTAGAGCCTTCTGTGCTTGGAGAAAAATCCATTAGGGACAGGGCTTGACTGTTATGGTAACATGCCAGCCTTCTGCCACTTGTCTTTTACTGCCCACACATGAAGGCATACACATGGCTGTACACATACCCCCATGCATGCACACACATACGCCTGTGCACGTGCACATACAGACGTGTAATACACACATACATGCACCCATAAATATATGTGCATGTATTCATGCACACACTCGCATATATGTTTGTACACACACATGTAAACATATATATGAACACACAGGTGGTTTCTGGTGTTACTGTCTCCACATCAGGGCAGTGGTGACAGATTCTTTCATCAGGAGTTTTCCTGCAGCCACAGCTAAAGTCCTACTCTGTGACACACAACCACAGCAGAGGTTCTCTTCTATCCTGAACCACAATTCTAACTTTGCCTGGAGTTTGGGCTCTCAGAGCAAATGCAAACTGCTTTACTTTTTGGAAGGAGATGCAAACTTGGCACTGTCACTTGGCCATCTTAAAATAAAGTAGAATGTTGTTAATGCAGCAAAGTGCCTGGCTTTGATGCTATAGTAGCACTGAGACACCTCTCTGCCACCTCTTTCCTTTTTACCATAGCTCGCACTAGATGATGAGGGGGGCCTCATTATGGGCTTAGTGACAGCACTGAAGCATCCTAGATAGTAATAGGCCATTCTGGCAAGCTACAGGCTTCTTGGCATTGTTGAGGGCATTGTCCCTGCCACCTGCCTTTGTTCAGTTGAGTCTTCGTGTCCACTGAGACTTTCCAAAGAGTGCCATAGCTACTTTGATGAAGTTAGTCAAGATTTTATTTCTTTCAAGACCCCAAGTGCCCATGGCCCAAGATGGCAATTCCTTGTCAGAAGTTCTCCATTAGAAGGATTTGTGGGCAGAGTGTGACCTCCTGCAGTGGGAAGAGCCTGCTCCCAGACATTTAGATAATTTTGCCCAACGACCTTGTAAGAAATGACACACACCTGTGCCACTCATTGACTTCCACCTCAGGGAGCAATCCAAATATTACACCAAGGCCTTATTCCTCAACCAATCCAATTCCAGAAGTCCTAGAGGACCCTGACCCAGGTTGCAAAATTACATACATTTGTCTCCTTCCATGTAGGAAGATAACAGTCCTTGAAATTTTTTCCTGCTGGTAAACAACTTTTCTCACAAAAAGATATACATTTTGAACCTCTTAGTAACCAAGTTTCTCAGCAAAATGTTGACTTATGACCTAATATTTGGCTTCAGTCAGATTTTGGAGCATTTCACGTTAATGCTTGCAATTGAACGTGACAATCAGACATTGTTATTTGTACGATTTCAAAAGGGCATGTCATGTTGAGGGAAGAATTAAGACCAGGTGTGTTTCTACATTTCAAGTGATGCTCCAAGAATGAAAACAAAATATGCTGGCTTAGATACAGTGGAAAGGGACTCCAAGAAATGCCTGATGTGGCCACTCTAATGGGGCACTTGGCTTCCTTCAAGCCACAGGCATTTGTAACTCAGTTTGGGCTTAGGGACAGGTGAGCACAGCTGCATGGAAACAGCGGCATTTATAGTGCTGCTGGCCTAAGCTGAGAAGGAGGGACATCCAGACGGGATGCTGGCAATGGCTCAGCCTCGAATCCCTACTAACCAGGAAGGAAGTCGAGAGGAGACAGTGGGAGTCGCCCTTCTGGACCTGCTGAACACTGCACCTCCCTATTTGCCTATTTGTAAACAGGGACTAAGTTCATCATTATATTTATTTATTTATAAATATAGGCAGTCTTGCTACGTTGTCCAGGCTGAACTTCAACTCCTGGGCTCAAGTAATCATCCTGCTTCAGCATCTTGAGTTGCTGGACTACAGGTGCACGGCACTATGCCAGGCATCCAATATATTTCTTGTGTCTGCTTGAGGAATAACGTGGCTGGGTCCTGAATCTTCCTGAAAACACCAATGCAGGAGCATCTGGAGAGGGTGCTGTGCCACTTTTTGTGATGGGAGCTGGAGGTGGGCTCTAGCACAAGCTTCCTTGTCATGGCATGGGCCCATCTCTCAGATCGGGTGGGTCACCCTTGGAGAAGCCAGAAAAATCTAATGCCAGGGGATTGTGATGCTATGGAAATGAAGGGGAGCATAACTGTGGAGATGAGAAAGAGGGGAGGATGAACTGTGGTAAATCTTATCTATTTGCTATTTCTACTTAGAACTTGACTGAGCCCTGCTTAGGGTGAACACAGGAAATGGCCTTGACTTCAGTGCCTCCAAGTACTGGTGAGAATGTCAAGCACGAGTACATGCCTAGAGCTCCCTGTGCATGGGGAAGAACCCTTTAAGGACAAGGCCCTGACAGGATCAAATCAGAAGCTCCAACAGTGGCAGGATGGGCCAGATTCCAGCTTTGTCCTTATGAAATACCCTCCATTCCTAAAATATCATCTTCACTTCCTTGGCATCCCAGAGCTTTCTCAATCCTTCTCTTTCAGCCCCATGCTGAGTAAAAGGCAGTACTGAAATCTTTCCTTGGGTCCTCAAGTTCTTCTATTTCCAGGAGAACTTTCTGGACCTTGCAGATGTCTCCCCAATTTCCAGTGTGTCACAGAGCCTGTCTGAGACATAAGGCTCCTTAGGTCTGACCATGCTGTCAGGAACATTGCAGATGCCAGCTTTAGAAGTCAAAATATCCCACCCATCATGGCCCCGTTGTGTTTATACAGACTCTCTTCTTGTCCCCTTGCAGAATGAGCTCCATCCTGCCTCACAGAAACTCTAAACTTTGCTTCTTCCCTGTAGGGTCAGAACCAGTTTTGCATGTGGCCCCTAAAAATGATGAATCCATCCCTTATTCTGTGCTACTTATCCACAAGTCTGGCTTCCCCACTATATGGGGGATTCTGAATATATCAAGCATCAGCCTCTGGGAGAGCCAAGCATCTCCTCTCTTCCCTGCCTCTCCCATTGCAAGCTCACCTTCCTCCTTCCCTGAGTCTCAGCATTTCCCCCAATCCCCCTCCTAGGTTCAGCCACCTCCTCTGTGGGTGCAGCTTCTTATCTACCCTCTAGTTCTACTAGGAAAACATGTCTACCCGCTTCTCGCCATTCTCCATCCCTTCACCTCCATTTCACAGACCTCTCACATTAGGAGGCATTTGTCATTTCCTATTTACATGAACTCTTCTCTGTTGAGGATGTTTTTCAGGCTCTGGAAAACACAGAGCATAGGCAGGAATCTAGCTTCCTCTCAACCTTGTGCTGTGTCTGGTGCTTGTAGGGGAAAGAGGGTAAATCCAGCCACCTCCCTACAGGTGACCCTTGACCAAATGTCACAATAGATCATTAGATCTGCTGTTTTTGCCACTTCCTGTTCAGACCAACTCCTTCTTCCTGTGTCTCCCAGCACTGCCTTGTCCCTACTTCCAGGTGGCCATGGGGAGTTGAGCAGAATAATGTCAGAACAGGCATGATAGCTGCTGAGCTGTTTGCAAATAGATTATTGGCATCTATTTCATAATGCCTAAAAAAAGGTGAAAGGGATGCCTCCGATTTTAGTTATGCTATTAAAACAAAACAAAAACAAACACTGTATTTCACCTTTCAATGGGTTAAATTACCTTTATCTGGCTAGCTTATTTATAATATTAAATGCATTCTGAATTTCCCGTCACTGACTCACCATGGATCAATGCCTTAGAATAAGGCTGGTGGAAAGGTAGGCTGGAGACAAGGCCGTGGATACAGCCAAGCTTGCTCCAAACCTTCAGCTCTCTGCAGAGCCTAGGTGGGCATAGACATCCAACTCTCCAGGTCCTTTTGACCCTAGAGAACCCTCAGGACTAGTTCTGGGGTCCTGGTACTCCAGCACAGTTTTCTTCCAGGAGCTTTGAAACATATTTGCAGATCATGCAAGAAAGTAGAGGTCTGAAAAATAATAAGTGTAAGTGGCCAAATTACATTTCTAGGACATATGGCCTAAAAATGTAATTTGGCCACTTACACAGCGCTTTTTAAAAAATGGATAATATCTAGTGGTAAAGAGATTGTGAAAAAATGCATGTAATCCTTCATGGCGACAGGCCTCACAAAATGATGCAACCCTTTGGAGAGTAATACAAAAATACAGAACACAAATGTTTAAAGCTGCTCACATCTTTAACCTTTGCAAGTTGAGTTTTAACTGAAAAAGTAACCTAAATGTATCCTAAATCCATGACAAATATTCTAAATCAAGAGCTGACTCTCAAGTAAACATACAAACAGTTTAAATATTTACTATTAGGGAAATACTTTAATAAATTATGGTTCATAAATGTGATAGCATCTTATGTAACAAATATTAATATAAAGACTGAAGAAACACTATATATATATATATATACACATATATACACACGCACACATATAAAGGAATACTTAAGAAAAGTAGCAGAAA